ATTACTATTCTTGGGGGAGGAAGTGGAGTGGAGGTGAGAGAAGAGATTGGAAGAAAACCGTACACCTATGGATGAGGACAGTGGGTGGGGAGTGAGGGCAGAGGGTGGGGTGGGAACTGGGTGGAGGGGAATTATGGGGGGGTGGGAGGAACAACTGTAATAATCTGAACAATAAAGATTTAATTAAAAAATATTTTGGGAGGAGCCAATGAATATCAGTATGAAAACACTTTAAACATTTTCTTCCCTCCTTCTTCCCTTTCTCCCTATCCCATGTAATTCACCTAGTTATGCAAATTCATTGATGTCTCCTTCCAGAAGCCTCAGACTGGGGCCATTTCCTGCAGGATAATAGCTGCATACAAAAATTTATTAGAAGATAAAATATACTGACTGACTGTCAGTCCAGGCCTTGCTGCAACTCTTACTGCAAGTGTCTGGATCATGACCATTCCTCAATCAATTATTACTTTGCTCTCAGGCTCCAAACCAGAATTTCATTAATCTTGACAGTTTAAGTTTTGGTTTTGTGGTTATGGGATTAGCAGTATATTCAAACTGTGGGTTCCATTTGGGGTTTTCTTTAACACCATGATTCATTCTTAATGCTTATTCTAAGGTCCCTATTCTACTAAAAAAAATGTCCATGTGCATTTTAAACTTTATATAGTTTAAACAATTCTTTGATAGTCATTTCTAAGGAAGCAATGTTATATTTAAATATGAAATATTTAATGACCACTGTGTATCTTAGCAAATGGCTCCATAAGCAGTTGTAGGAGTTAACAGTGACTGGGGGAGGGGGTGTAAGATCCACACCTCTGAAGGGTATCTTCAGTGTCTGCCATCTCAGTAGACCTTCTCCACTTTGTGTTTGGTTTTTTTATAACAGCCCCTAGAATTTTCTTTGGAAACCATACCCATCATGTTTGAGCTACAATGTGTGAATTTGTTCTTCAGTCCCACTGAGATGTGACAAAACTAGGGAAACATGCAATGGAAAAGGAACCTAGCTAGAAAATGAAAATCTTTCAGTCTGATCCCAGCTCTGCCACTAACTGGCTGTAAAACCTTGACAAATGTACCTAAATTACCCAAGTGTCTACACTTACACAATAAGGGGTTGGTCTCCCTATGACCTCTGGGGCAAGTTCAGCTACTGGTTCTGTGACCTTTCCTAAGAGAAGGTCTGAAGAGTCAACATTCAAGGACCTGTTAGGAGTTTATTTCTATCACATGCAAGATAATCGATCTAAACCAAGCACTTGCACCTTGTTTTTGAAATTGTTTATTGAATAACAAATAATAAACATTGATATGTTAACAGTAATTCTTAATTGATAGGGGCACAAGGGTAGAATAAAAATATTATTTTTATCTTTTCCTCCTTTCCTCCTCCTTTCTCTTTCCTTTCTACCCTTTTACTAACCAAATGTGTAATTAATTAATCAACTGAATATGTTTAACATTATGTTCTGGCTAAGATTTGCTGCAGATCTCAGCTGACCAGGCAAGAACAAAAAGACTTATAATCCAGCCCTGAATTTACACCCCTGGCCATCAGGAATGCAGAGGCTGATCGATTAGGTCTCAAAAAGACCAGAATGACACAAGCACTGCTTGACCTATTTCAGAACACTGACCATTCTGTTCCAGGGATCTGTAATGAAGACATTTATCAAGACCCAAGGCCCCTACAGGGGGTCAAATTCCAGAACTACAAGTCACCAGAAACCCCCTTTTACTACCTACCCACATCCCTTTTCCCTGATTCCCCTGTATAAGCTTTCTCCTAACAAGCTTAAGGGAAGGTACATTTAGAGTTTTTACCAGTCACCTTCCCAGATTTCCACCATCTGATATTATTAAACACACACTTATACCCCAATTTCTGTCTCTGCTTTAGGCTGGGTGGTGACAGGCAGCATGAGCCCTGGACTCGGTTGACCTCCAGTTTTATAATGAGAGGGCATAGAAAACAGAAGGCTGTAATATATCAAATAATCAATTCAAGAGAATTTGCCAGAGTTGACTCTTGAAGGACATAAGCCTCCAAGTTGAAAAAGTTCCATTCTTAGACGAGTATTTGTGTAAATTTAGAACCAAAGGAATAAAAACAAGTTTCTAATAAATTCCAGAGAGAAATAGATAGGTCATCCACAGAGGAATGATCAGATTGGTACCAGCCTTCTGGTCAATAAGACTGATGTTAGATAGTCATGGAACAAAGCTTTCAGAGATCTGAAAGAAATAGATTTTGGACTAAAATTCTATGTCTGGCCAGTTTTTCAGCCAAATGTTTGGAATAAACACAGTTTCAGACATACAAGTTTTTAGAAATATCACTTTCCACACATGTTAAGCTGGAGCAATAATTTAATCCAAGATAGACAAAGACACATTTTAGGAAAGGAGGCCTCCTACCCAAGAAGAAGTCCCAGGATTAGCACTCTGAATGTCTAGATGACAGTGAGGGACAGAATGTTCCAGGAGAAACAGTAAAACAAACATATGAATACTCCATAAAATGTCTGCTCAAATCAATTATTGAAATGTAATCTTAAAATAAAGGGACATAGTGGTTAAGAAAAAATTAGAAACTCTTGTTTATGAAAAAGCTCCAAAAGAATAAGTTTTCAAGTGAACTACACTTAGTGTGTTGATTTAATTAAAAATAGAGACTTAACTATAGTAAGAGGTTGTGTATTAAGAGACAAAGGAATAAATAAATAACTCCTAAAATTGAGTAATTGAAGCACCGTAATACAAGGTAGTATTTTTAGGGATGATGAAAAGAGCAACAAAAAGAATCAGTTAAGAATCCTTAGAAATGATTATCAAAAGGTACAAACTTCCAATTATAAAATAATGGGTATGTAAAATACAGCATGGTGACTATACTTAATACTGAATTGCATATTTAATCGTTGCTAAGAGAGTAGATCTTAGAAGTTCTCATAAGAAAGAAACATAATTTTGTGTGTATGATGTATTTTTATCTAGACTTGTTGTTATGTTCAATATACTCAAATGTCATACACCTAAACTAATATAATATATGTCAATTTTATTTCAATTCAAAAAATAAAAGAATTAGCTGAAAGAATTAAAAGGGGTTGCCTCTAGATCTTATTTTGAAGTAAAAAAACAAAACGGGAACAAATACAGTATTTGTATTTGCATGTGGCCCGCAGGCCATAGTTTGAGGACCCCTGTCCTAGACACTAGCAAAGTGAGCCTGGAGCAAGATACTGTTGCAGTGGGGGATGGCGGGAAAGCAAAGGTGAGAGACATAAGTAAAAATCAGAGTGTCTAGGAAGAATTAAAGGGAAGATATCCTAAAACTTCCAGGAAATCTCCATCAATTAAGCAAAGAAAAAAAAAGGCCTCTATTATTCTGTGAGCAACAAACCAAACTGGGTTGGGGGTCTCAGGCAATTCGTTCATATGATTGCAACGACAGACAGAAACTCCCAGATTGGAGAGGGTTCCCCTGAGGGCTCCCAGGTTGGAGTGGGTGCAGGTCGGGCTGAGGGACCCCCACCACCCCTGTGCATGAATCTTCGTGCACCGGGCCCCTAGTATGTAATATTAGAAAAGATTTTAAATACTGTTGATATATGAACACCAAATACATGTTACTCTATATGGTATGATCTAATTTAGTAAAATAAATAAATATTTGATATGTTTTTCTTTCATATTTCAGGTAATTTATTTTATTTATTAAAATTTATTAAATTGAATATGTATGTGTATTATTTATTTTTACTAGATTTGACATTTATACATGTATTTTTCTAAATTGAAATATGTATAGTTAAAGCCATTTATGGTGACTGACAACACTGGAAAAATAGACAAGAAGAATTTGGAAAGCCAATTTCATGTGGATTGAGCAACCTTAGTATTTAGTATCAAGGCAGGAAGATTTTGTGGTCTACAGAGTTTATATGAGGCCAGGTAGATTTTCAACCAGCATAGTTAGCTTTTAGCTAAGAGTTCTTAAGCATTAGTCACTAGGTGTTTTTGATTTTGTCAAGTGTTTGCAACTCACTATGGCTCTGATCCTAAAAGACTTTTTGTGGAAATGGGGCCAAAGGCATGGGCCTTTAGCCAGCACAGATGGCCCAACAGTGCAAATTGCAGCATTTTGACTTTGAACTTACAGTGAAGGCAAGAGCTTCAGCAAAGCAGTGCATTTGGTAGATGCTAAGGCCTTAGGCTGCAGACTGCTGTAGTTTATTAAGATGCGGGCATAGCTTGGCCTGGTATCACGGCGAGGCTAAAGTGAGATTAGTACTTGCAAGTATAGGCAAGTCAGCAAGGTTACACAGGAGCCACAGAACACCAGGAAGTGTCTAGCTTTTAGGTGTTGAGATATCTTGTGGCTAAGACTTAAGGTCTTTTGCTTCAGGTGGCAGTAAGTGGCGTGCCATTGTGCATTCAGGGCACAGGTTGAAACTGTGAAGCACTGACCTTAAATTTGTGTCTGGTTCAAAGGCTCAATCATATAAAATGAAAATAGTAGGGAAAAAATGTTTGGGCGAGTTTCAGAATGATAATTATTGTAGCTGGGCATGTGGAGATCACAGTGCCCAAGGGATTTGTAGGAGGGAAAAGAAGCGGAAGAGTGTCTAGATTTTAGAAGACCAAGCGGCTGAGGCACCAGCTGTCACTAGGACCTCAGGGGCACCCGCTCCCGCAGCCTCAATAGCAACTTCTGTTCAGAAATTCTGAGGGTGCTTTTTCAGCAGCAACAAATATGACCCTAAGGTGACATCTTTTTCTAGAAGGCAGGGTTTTTGTGTTTTTTAGGCCAAATTAGTACCATTCCAAGAAGCAAAGGAAATGTGTCGTTATACACAGGCACACAATACCTCATGGAATACCTAGGAGTCAGTACTAACAATAAAGCTCATCTCAGGAGGGAAGTGCTTAAAGGGACCTGGCAGTTAGAAGATTTCTAATAGGTTGGGTGAGAAGGAAAAATATGGGACCCACATATTAATAAATTCGTAGTGACAAAAGTGATCATTTGCTGAGTGGTTCCTATCAATTAAATTCAAAGAATGTGGATTGTAGAAAAGTAGACTGGCTGGCAGCCCAAAAAGAAGTAAATATAGTTACCATCTACCATCTGTTTTTCAGACACCAATAGAATGTCCTTTGACAACACTTATACGGGGTGTAAGAGAACAGGATACTTACCGTGGATCATTGCTCTAAGGGTAGCCTTTGGCTCATATTCTAAATTTGGTGAGTGTGAGGTTAGGATTACTTTCTGAGTCCTATTTTAGAGTCCAAATGAAGTGAGAATGATGTCTTGAGAATGATTTAGGAATTTCTGAGGCCCTAAGAATTCCTCACAGTTCCCAGGCTGCAGCTACTGAAAAAATACAACTCTCCCCAGGGGTAGTGAACCCCTCTGACTGAACTGAACAAAATTATAAATAGGGAAGGATTACTTTTGGAATTTATTTTTTAAAATATATTTTTATTGATTTCAGAGAGGGAGAGAGAGATAGAAACATCAATGATGAGAGAGAATCATTGATCAGGTGCCTCCTGCATGCCCCACTACCTGGGACTGAGCCTGCAACCTAGGTATGTGCTCTGACCGGGAATCGAACCATGACGTCCTGGTTCATAGGTCAGCACTCAGCCACTGACCCATGCTGGCTGGGCTGGAATTTATTTTTAAAAGTCAAAGGAATTTGATTTGGAATTTGCATCACTTGGCTTTAACTTGCAAGAGTAGATATTCTTTGAACTTTAATTTTTCCCTAGAAATTTAATATTGTCAGAGGGCTTAAAGATAAGATTGGGACATTTTCATTGCTTTAATTTTATGAACAGAAAGTCTTTATGCATTTTATGATTGGAGAAGCATACCATTGCCATCTAATTTCATTGCAAAACTTCTGATACCCTATATAAAGCAGCCTGGCTAGAAAATACTTTGGTTTGAAGGTTGTAATAATAGTAATACTATGTTGAATTTCTACATCATATATACTTACAATTACATATATGTTATATATAGTATATGTAATACATATTGTATAATAGTTACATATTTTTGTAAATTCCTAAAGACTAAACTTGGCTCATACTTTTCTCCTCTTTGGGAACCATCCTACTTTATGGAGAGCTTAAATTCTACTCTGCTCCTCCAGGGCCAAGCCATCCCTTAATGGAGCTTGATCTCCCAGCATCCAGAATTGCCTATGGTTGGAGGGTTTAGTGCAAAACTTTGGGCTTCAGTTAGCGGATGGTTTGGTTTCTCATGCAAAGCTATGTGCTCCAACTTAGTCTTTATCAATAATGAAGACATTATTATAACCTTCCTCTTCTACTCTTTATTTCTCAATTGATTAAGAACTTGGGCTATGAATAGGGATGTCTTATTTAGTTCCTCTCAGATATTGCAGTAGTGTTATGTGCATGTGTAATGTATTAATTGTTATCCACATATATAAATAGGCATAAATGTATATAATATTTAAACAAATGTGTATTCAAATATATTATAGATGTACATATATATATTTATCAATGTCTCATATATGTATATGTGGGATTGCTAGTAATAATTTATTTATCTTCTTTGTACATTTTATATTCCCAATTCTTTTCTATGTAAATTCACTAATCAGAAAAAAGTTACAGTTTTAAAAATACTAAGTTCAGTTGTTACCATAACTTGTCCTGTTTCTTTCTCCTTTCTGCACAAATTGCCCTCTTCTTTTTCCAGAATGTCTTCATAAAACTAATGAGAACTTGTTCCAATGTATTTTATTTGACTTACATGTTTTTCTCCTTGGTCATCCCCATTACAGATTGACCTACTTAAGAGGAAGAGTTATGTCTTAATTCTAGTTTTTATCACAGGCACATAACAGCATGCTTTGCATAAAGTGAGCACATTAAATATTTATTGATATTAAGATTATATCAGATGAAAACTTTTTCCCAGTAATTGAGTTGAATGCCAATGAAATAATTCTAGAAAATAGGAGAAAAACAACATGCTAAATACATACAATGAGGTATTTCCACATAAGGGTCATGCCATGGTCCAATAAGGTTGTTATGGAAAATTTAAAAATAAAACTATATTCCATGAAGCAGCAGATTTCGATCAGACTCCGGTGCACCATATCTGCTGTGAAGTAAAATAATGGGAGTGTGTTTGGAATCAAGCCTAGGCTAAATAATTATGGAAACATAGTGAGATGTGCTTAATATTTCCTCAGAGGCCATAACAAATCCTCTTGCCAAATCAACAAATCCTGTAATCCCATCTCTTGCGAGACTAGATGATTGAGTAACAGGCTGCAGATGTGAAGTCTTTAAGCTTGTTTTCCCATTGAGAAGCTCATCAGGCGGCACATAATGTGATGACTCCCCCACCTATGAGGCCTCAGAGCAGCCAAATCCAGGCTTGGGAGCACACTGAAATCACGTGGAAGCTGTAAGAATGATTGATGTCTGGTTTCCAGCCTACCTCCCCGAAACGCCCCAGCTCCTGATTTAATTGACCTAATGAGCATCCTGAGCATCCAGAGTTTTAAAACCACCCCAGGTAATTCTAATATGCAACCAAGAGAGACAATCACTCCTTGAGGGTCTCCTGGAAGTCTTAATGCGTTTTTTCTGTCTATAGGTTGTCCCAGACACACCTACTTTCTGCAGATTCAAGTGAAATCATGCAGGTTAGTTCATGGTTGGCCTGGAATTGCAAAGATAACTTTTTTTTTCACCTTAGGGCTTCATTTCCAGCTTAATGGTGCTCTCCTTGAATCCCCATTCTCCCTCAAGAAAAATGTGCTTCCATTGCATAGAGTGTTAGCCTGTTCTGTTGATGTAAAAGAGCTGGGGATGAACAGTGTGCTATAAGTTAGGAAGAAAAAATAAGAATAGTTCTGACTATGAAGACTGTTTTTCCTGTCTTACATTAAACAGTTTCAGACTCTTATTTGTCATGGCTAGATTTTGGAATGCCTTGATTAAAAATATATATATATAAGTACTATAATAAATTTTAAAAGCTGTTAAAAATTACAAATGTAATTATTAATCCCAGTAAGATCTACTTTTTTTTTGAGGGGCGGCAGGGGAATGAATACATGTCTTTCTCATTCTGATTATTTAGCATGCAGAAAATGTTTAGTACACATGTGAATTCACGAACTCAGCATTATAACTCTGTGTCTCCTCCAGGATTCATTGTTCAAATAGATTCCTCCAGAATTCTATTGTTCTATGGCAGTAGATTGCATATGGTGATAGTTTAATTTGTCCATTTTGCCATTTCTAAGATATTTACTGTCATATTATCTGGTCCCTGGTGGTCCCAAGGTCCAGATGTTATCCTCATTCCAGCTCCCAAATCCCAAAGCTATCCAGGCATCATGGCCCAGTTTTCTTTCTTCTTCCTTCCTTCCTTCCTTCCTTCCTTTCTTTCTTTTTCTTTCTTTCTTC